AAAGGAAGCCTGGAAAGATGTATTTGACCCAAGTATATCTCAATGAATTAACTTTGCAATAATTGCAAAAATCTCTATTTTTGGAGCTTTCCATGATTGTTCATAAGGAGTCTGTGGTTAAGCTTTGTGACTTAAAGACAAAATTTTAGAAAGTTCTTCCTTTTTGGTTAAATAAAAAACAAGGGTTCAGGAGAGAAGGTCTTTTTTGGGAGTCTTCCTATAATTTATTGTTTGCTTGGTATGTATTTATACCTTGGTATATAAATGTATGAGTCATTTTCTTTTTAGATTTGAGTGTTTTAGGAATGGAAGAGCAGAGATAGTTCATTTTCAAATACAATAAAATTATGTTAAGTATAGGCAGTGCTAATTTATTTTTGTCATTTATCAAAGGGTCAGAGACCAAAATTTATTTTTCTTCATTGTGTATTATTAGTAGACCTGTACCTGGGGTCAGATAGATTGATAAATGCCCAATTAAACCATTTTTAAGTATGCCTGAATAGCAAGATTTTCCACCTTACCAATAAAATCTTGGCATATTAATTTTAAATAATCTTTAAAAATCTATTTCTTAAAACAAGTCTTCATATGGATTTTAAGAGGGAACTTTTGTTTTTTTAAACTTTATTGAAGTACTTGAAAATGTAGAAGTTTGGTAGATTAGGGAAGTCTTTAGGAGTAAGATTAACTGAGTTCATCCTTACAGACTCTGGAATGAATATGGTAAGTATAACACATTGGTGGAGGAAAAATTTTCTTTAGAAAGATAGAGGAAGGAAAAAAAAAGGGGGGGAATACAGTAAGTTCATAGTAGGAATAAGAGGACCATTTATGTAGTTCTTTTAAAAAGAGCTTGTAGTAGATTGATTCAAAATGATTTTTTCTTCTTAAATTGTTTTGTTTTTTCCCTTGGAAATAAGTAGAAATAAAGACTACTGACTGCTGCAAATTGGTTGTCTCTGATAATACTACTTTAGTTCTAATTGGTGAAGAGGGGAAACAGAGAATTAAGATAGTTTTAAATGATGTTTGACATTTTTAGTTCTTAGTTCAGTCAGCACAGTCATCAAGTGACTTTATTTTGAACCCCTTGCATGAATGGCATTGAACCAAATCCCACAAGAGATAATACCTTCTGCCTATGTGAGCAAACTGGTAGTTGAAGTATTGCTCTCAAAAGCTATAGATAACACCAGTTGATGTTAAGATGTTGTGAGATTCCAGCCTTGGGGTAATGAGGTTAAGATAGGAAAAATGTACATCAGGGAAAAAAAGTTTTAAAAGAAACTATCTACTTTTTGCTTTGAATAAAGATGTCACTGTCCTATGCAGTGAAACAGTAAACATGTCAAATTATTTTTTAATATTTAACTAAAACACTGTTTTAGCTTTAAAGAGTTGAATTTTATTTGATTGATCATTGTATGAATAATGCAAAGTAAACTTTCATTTTGACAAGTAAAATAAGGAGGTGAATGATTTAGAGCATATCAGGTAGAATCTTGAAATAAGTGATTTGTACCTTCATTGAAAATCAAATGGAAATCTTGGTGGATAGATAATGTCCAAAATATATGACTGAAACCTATCTTTAACCTGGCCTCCAAGGTTAATATCATATTTAATATTAAGGTACTTTTCATTTTATAATATTATATATATTTAGGTATGGTCAGATTTTAAGTATCTTTCCCTAGTAGCCCATCCCCTCCCTTCTTTATTCTTCCCCACCCCACCTCTTTTGGTGTGCTTAGGTTCCTACTGCTGGCTACCCAGTCAGTACCATTCTAATACCATTTAAGGTAGCTCCTCTGGGTTTATTTATTTGAGTCCTGTAATCCAGTTTCTCTTTTAACCTGGCTTCTGAAATCAGTTGACAAACCGGTTTATTTTTCTCTTAACAACTCGTGATTTAGATTGGTTAGGAAGATAAAATGTAATCCGGCACAACCTCTTTCCCTTGGAATCAGTATTTGAAAGGCTTCCTCCTTTCGTGGCTGAGCGTGCTTAAGTCGGGCAGAGTACCTAGTGAAGGACTTCAGCCCCCACAGTTCCCTGTGTGCGCATGCCCTCTCTTCTTACAGTTGTCAAAGTGCTTTTGCCAGAGCGGTCACATAATCAACCTGAAAGAAGAAAATAAATACTGTACACTTTTAAATTTTATCGATCCTTAAAAACTGGACCCTCAAAGGTAACTGCTGCTGAGAATTTGTTACTTGAGATTGGGTGATTGCATGTAAAGGAAGATCTATTGTGTGTGTGGTGGGGGGAGGGGAAGGAGGTATCTATTTCCCGGACTTTGCTGTAAATAAGAAAAAAGAAAAAAAGACTAACAAAAACCCACCCAAATGGACAGACTGTACAAACAGTTACTGACATTGCATATTAACTTTGTAAATGTTATTTTAATCTATTGCTTATCTTTTGTTTAAAAGGGTCTTATTTATTAAAGATGGGTCTTGACCTTGACAGAGTGAATTTATGCAGAAAGTGAAATTAATGTCTTTAAGAAATGTTAAGAAGAGAAATGGGTGTTCCTGGTATGATACAATTTTTTAAATTAAATATATTCATATTACTTATAGGCTTAAAATAGTCTTGAGTCTAGCTTACTTTGTGGCTTTTTTTTGCTATAGGACAGCATTAATTTCTCCACTATAAACATATAGTTTAAAGTGAAGGCATTAACAGAAGGCATTGGTACTAGCATCAGAAAAGCTGAGTGATATTAAAATTATAATCAAATGCATATTTCAGCCATGATGATATGGCTATTGTAAAGACAATTCTAGCCCACTGGGAGAGACTCAAATCCCAGATTATAATGGTTTACTGCAGCACTGCTTAAACCAAGTATAAAAATGTCTCTCTCTATGTCCATTTTCTTTGGCAACAATAGAACTTTGTGTTGCTGTGAATCCAAGCTCTGCTTGCCTCTTTGTCATATTTACAATACTGATCAAAGTCATTATTTTAGACCAAGGGAATTAAGGAACACAAAACCAATCTTAAATAGGTTTTATTGGTAGTAGTTGGCCATTTGTGATGTGTATTATATTGGGTTGGGTTCTTTTGGAGGGGTGGGTTGGGGAGGGAGGAGTTAAGGTGGCTGTGAAGCTTTTCCTTGAGCCCACTATTTGTCTATGTATGAAACTTTAGAATGAGATATTAACCATTTTGAAGATATTCTTCAATAAAATAGAAGTACTTTTAATCCCATTTCTTAGTCTGACATATTTTGCTTAACAGTTAAGAGGAATAGCAAATCCATTTCCCAACACATTTATTTTACAGCAGTTATTATTGTGAGAATATCCAAAGGCAGAACTTCTATGTGTATCTGAATGCCATTTTAGGAGTGTCCTGAGAAAGATGCTTCTCCATGTATCTGAGTTAATTAACTGTATTAAATATATTAATAACTTTGTAGCAATTATACTGAATCACCATCTAAAAAAATTATTTATTTGGTCATATGCACCTTGAACATCTCAAAATACTTGTTTTCAGGGTCTCGGCACTGTAATATTCATATATTTAAAGCAATTAACGTGTTCTAAAGGACAAACGAACTCAGTGATAACTATGGGTATGGAAATCTGGTTTTGAGCGATTACTATTTTCATCCTTGAATGATAAAACAGGCTGTATGGCAGAGGTGAATATAGCCCTTCTATGCGAAATGGAAAATACCATACACTCCTTATATGGCTAAATGAAGCAGTGATGGCAATGCACTATAATTACAATGTATGAGAATTTGCGACTTTGTACTGTGCTATTTTTAACACGTTAGCTAGCATATGGTAATTCAGGGTCTTCAAACCATAATCTTTCACTGTTAATACTAGTGATAAGAGAATAGGGTCTAAATTTGCCAAAGTCTTGTGACCAAGGCAGCAGAAGGAGGATTCAAAAAATGAAAAATCTGGCAACCCCAGTATTATCTTGACTTCATACTTAAATCTGAGGGATTTTTTTAAAGCCCCACCCCCACCTCATCTCTTAGACAGTCCTCCGCCCCCCTCCCTCCTTTCTCCTTCTTCCTCCCTCCCTCCGCGTGTCTCTCTCCCTCTCTCTCTCTGACCTCAAATCCAACGAGAACATTTCTTCACTCTGCAGAGAAATTCTCAGGCTCCTGTTAAGACCTGAACTACTGAGATGCCAAGAAATCTCTTGTGCGGCAGAATTGGAAACGAGAACATTGGAGAATAAGCAAAAAAAACACCCATCTAATCCTTAGAGTAACAAGAAGCAAGCACTTGCAAATGTTTCAGTAGATTTTTACCACTTTTAAAAGGATGTTGGTTTTTTTTTTTTTTTAATGTCTCCTAACAAAATGGAGTAGCTGCAGCTACTGGGAGGCCAGAGAATGGTTGTGCAGTTGAGTCCTCCTAACAAATGCCAAGGATTTCCTCCCTCGTGGTTCGCTGCGGCTAAATGAAACAATTATCGAGGCAAGAAGGCAGTTTGCTAATCAAGAGGGATAAGACTACTGTTTCTTTAAAGTGCCCGAGCGGGGAAGGGGGAAGAAAGGGTCGTGTGTGGTGTCTTTTTAACCTTGCTGAAGGACGCAGCTGTATTTATTGACGTATGCAAATAGCTGGGGGAGGGTGGTGCTTGGGAAAAAACAGGAACCAGAATCAGTTTCTCATTGCAGGGTGAACGCTTTGAGTTCCGGTGAAGGGGAAAGAGACGTGGCGAAATTGCTGTCTTTCTGTCTTATAAGCACATCTCTTACTAATACAGAAAAGGAACCTAGACATCAGAAAGGGTGAAGACGCTCTCACAGTATTTTTAGAGACTTTGCACGAGCTCCCCCACCCCAGCCCGACCTGTTCTTCTAAATGGGAGATTATGGATTTGCATTGCAATTGGCTAGTAGCGGTGGCACTGGATTTTCGCAACTAAAACACCCGCCCGCTCCAGCAAGCGGCATTAACGAACACACTGACAATAACGCGTTTCTCTTTTTTCCCGTTTCAGCTGCGCAAACCATGCAGGATGATTTACTGATGGACAAAAGCAAAACCCAGCCCCAGCCCCAGCAGCAGCGGCAGCAGCAGCAGCAGCCCCAGCCCGAGCCCAGCACCGCCGAAGCCCCGTCCACGCCCCTGTCCTCAGAGACCCCCAAGCCGGAGGAGAGCAGCGCAGTGCCGGCCCTCAGCCCCGCCGCGGCCCCGCCGGCCCCTAACGGCCCCGACAAGATGCAGATGGAATCGCCGCTCCTGCCGGGCTTGGGTTTCCACCAGCCCCCTCAGCAGCCGCCGCCACCACCGCAGGAGCCCGCGGCGCCGGGCGCGTCTCTGTCGCCGTCCTTCGGCAGCACCTGGTCCACGGGCACCACGAACGCGGTAGAGGACAGCTTCTTCCAAGGGATCACCCCAGTCAACGGGACCATGCTCTTCCAGAACTTCCCGCACCACGTCAACCCAGTCTTCGGAGGCACCTTCTCCCCGCAGATCGGCCTGGCGCAGACCCAGCACCACCAGCAGCCGCCGCCGCCCGCGCCACAGCCAGCGCAGCCCGCGCAGCCCCCGCAGGCGCAGCCCTCGCAGCAGCGCCGCTCGCCTGCCAGCCCCAGCCAGGCTCCCTACGCGCAGAGGGGCGCCACGGCGGCGTACGGTCACCAGCCCATCATGACTAGCAAGCCGTCCTCCTCCTCGGCCGCCGCGGCCGCAGCAGCCGCCGCCGCCGCCTCGTCCGCGTCGTCCAGCTGGAGCACGCACCAGAGCGTGAACGCCGCCTGGAGCGCGCCGTCCAACCCGTGGGGCGGCCTGCAGGCGGGCAGGGACCCTCGCCGGGCGGTCGGCGTGGGCGTGGGCGTGGGCGTGGGGGTGCCCTCGCCCCTCAACCCCATCTCGCCGCTCAAAAAGCCCTTCTCCAGCAACGTGATCGCGCCGCCCAAGTTCCCCCGCGCGGCCCCGCTCACCTCCAAGTCCTGGATGGAGGATAACGCTTTCCGGACCGATAATGGTAACAATCTGTTGCCATTTCAGGTAATGCTCCGGTGCACCTGTATACGCCTTCCTTCCACTCCGCTCCCCTTTCCCTGTTTTCCCGGCCATTTAATCGGCCACTGATTGTGGGTCTTTAAAAAAGGCGGCGATTGCCAACTCCCCTGCCCTTTTCCGAAGCCTTCAGTTCACTGGGGGTGTTCCACTACGGGGAGGAGGGTGGGGGAGACATGACTGCTCGAGGAGTCATATGTATGCACCCTGACGAGGTAGAAGGGGCCTTTTCTTTTAGCCTGTTTTATCTCTTCGTCGTGCTTCTGCCTCTTCTTTTGACCTTCTTTGACAGGAAAAGCTGCAAGTGTGTGACAAGGTGCCGGCATAGTCCCAGGCTGAGTAGGCTGAGTGAGATTCCTGTCATTTTCAGTGGCTACACATTTCACGTTATGCAATCCCAGGCTCAGGGTGTCTCCGGAAAGCCGTCCACTCCCACACCACTCTGGCCCTACTCTTCAAGGGGTTAACAGCCCTGGAGTGATGCTATTTCAGACAGTTGCATATGCTCAATTAAACTAATGTGAACACATGTGTTTATGTCTCGCTAAGGTGCTGGCATCATTAATAGCAATCAGCATATTGCCCCTGCCGGGAAAATTAGAGTGTGAGATTCCAATACTGGAACTGTATCAGGAACCAAGATGGAAGAGTGGAAATTCTAGGGGTAACCCTTTCCATGTTATCTGAGTCTAAGAAGGGCTTAGAAATTGTTTTTTTTTTTTTTTATCCGGAGGAAAGAGACAATAGGACGCGACCTTCAGAGCCATATTGCAATGGAGTCCATTTGCTAGCTAGCACTGAAATATTTAAAGCTGCAGTGTCCTTCAGTTGGGTTATTTAAGAAGACAGTGCAGATCAATTACACTATTTGAAACTGGGCAAAGTGAAAGTCTTGCAACTTTAATGAAAAATGAGCCTTGTGTCTTGGTGTTAAATGCCAGTGAAAAACTCAGGAAGTGCCCCAGACAAAAAGGTTGAATGGAGTGTCCTTATTCTGTACTTGCTTTCTGATCCAGTGCGTGGCCACATCAGTTGGCAGTGTGCTGGACATCTTGAGTTGGAAAAGGGTGGTGAGGGTGAGGGTTCACTGGAGGCCTTTGTTCTCAGGAAAACATTCATCCTTCACTTACAAACTGATTTGTCCATACGCTTCCAGGCTTGGGTAAAAAAGAAAGGAGTGAGGAGGGCTGCTGGATAAGACCCAGCTTGGATCTTTGGATCCAAGGAAATGAAACAGAAATCCTTTGAGCATTGCTGAAAAATGGCAGAACCAACATTTGACAGAGTTAGTTTAAAGCATCAGGTGCAATTGGAACCTTATTTTATTGCTCTTTACATTTCAGATGTGATGTTTGGCGTGGCTCCCATCCATGAAGGAGGAGGTTGGGATATTAAGCACGTGAAGCTCTAAGCTAGAGCAAGAATCTTTAACCTCGTCAGTTCAAGGGGGTCTGACACCCATAAATTATGTATATGAGAATTTTTAATGAGACAATCTTACCAGATTTTTACAGGATTGCTTCAGGGATGGAAGAGTCCAATTTCTCTATGTGCCTATTTGTGTGTGTGTGTGTGTGTGTGTGTGTGTTGGGGTCTAGACAGGCAGGCTGCTTTTGATAGGAGAACCCCTCTTTTTCTAACAGTCTCTCTCTATTCTGATGCCCTCTATCCAAATCTAGTTTTAGAAGATAACCTAAAATCTAACAGAGATTTCAGGCCTGGAAGCTGATAGTGTAGACATGAGCTATCTTTTTCTAAGAGTAGAATCTGAATACAACTAGGTTTTGATTAATTATTTCCAGAAATGGGGACTAGGGAGAGATTAAATCCGTAAAATTTCCCCCAAATTGATATTGACAAGTAATGTGGGGATTGCCAGTTGTTTCTTAGCAAAGCGTTTACCAGCCATGCTAATAAGAGCCAGATGGACTGGATTGAGTTTGGATTCTTGTTTTTTCATCCCTGGTAGTGCCATTGAGTAGGGAAAGATGGCCAAAAGATTTGTAGGAAGAGAGATTTGATTGAAAATTGAGCTTTATAAATTTGGCCTTAGGAAGAATTACATGGACTTTATGTCTCTCTCTCTTTTTAAAAATTATTTAAAATGGAGCTTCAGGGTTTTGAAGCAATATTAGAACCAGATAGGAGTAACCTGGCTTTGTTTTGACTTGGAATATTATCAGACTAGGTTTCTATTGATAAATATATCAAGTTTAAAAAGACAAAAGTACCTTGAGTCTTGAGTGCAGAAATTTATATGTTTCTGTATGTATTTGAATCATTTTTCTACAAAAAGAAAATGCCTTAAGTAGTTTTTAATGACTTTAAAAAATTATTTTGATAAATAGGACTTTTTTTCTTTAAATCTAGGAGTTTATTTCATAGAGTACCAACTTAATTTGTTTTTATTCCACAGACTGTTTGAGCTAAAAGGGGCTTTCAATAGTGATCTACACTAATGTATCTTAATATTAAAAAAAAAAAATCCATATCTCCTGCCCATTCCCAACAGTGCTGCTTCACTCTTTCGCCAACTATAAAATAGTTTTTGGAACTTTTCTTCTGTGGTTTATATTGTGAAAGCAGTCACTGTATTTGAATGTGCTTTTTCAAACTACACATGCTTTCTTATGCCCTGCCCTTAATTCTAACAAAGTCGATTGTTTCTCTGCATTAGGGTGGCTCCTTCCTTAGGGATTGCTTGTATCTAGAGACGCCACCTCATTTCTATAAATAAGGAAACAGGTCCTGAGAGGAAACGTGGCATAACTAAAGTACTAGTGCTTTGGCTAATTTTGTTGATGTGTGTTCTTAACTTCTCTGTAGCACGAGTCCTGTCAGGTACAATTCATTTTAATATCAGGCTCTCTTTGGGCTCCATTCAAAGGGACTTACTTATGGAACTATCTCATGAGGTTCTCTATCGGGCTGTTGGTGCTGTACCACCCACCATCAGAGCTCAAGAGCAGCGAGTTACCCCACATGGGGTATTATGCTACGCTTCATTCTCTTATTTATGTAAGAGAAGCCTAGGTTTGTAAACGGACTAGAACCAGAGGTATTTTCTATATGTAATGAATTTGGGCTTAAATACCGTTGTTGTCCAGAGACATTTAGAAGGGACTCACGTATTTCACCACTCAGCTCATTTTCCAGAAGAGGAAATGAAAGTTCAAATGGCTTCCTCAAGTTCAGGTGGGTAGTTTCTATCAGAAGCAGACTTTGGAGGCAGATTGCTAGGTTCACATCTTAACTCTGCCAGTTCCTAGCCTTGTAATCTTGAATAAATTGTGTATACATTTTGATCCTCAAGTTTATCATCTATAAAATGGAAGTAATGATAATTACTTGCTTCATAGGATTTCAGTGAGAAGCTACATACAAAGTGCTTAGCACAGTTCTTGGCCCATAGTAAAGTACCTTATAAATGTTGAATTATGATTATTGCTAATTATAATGGTGACCAGAAGCTTCGTATGATCTTATCATAGTGTGGATTACTGCTTTTTCATCCTGTGCAATCTGAAAAACCCCAAACTTCTGTGTAATGTTATTTAGTCTTTTTTTCATCTGTCTAAAGGTCCTCTTTGGTTACTGTAACAATGAGGTGATTGCCCACTTACCTATGAGTGAGGCCCTTTGCTAAGCACTTCATATGTAGTTTCTTTTTGGAACTCCTTTAAAGTAGGGGATTATTATTAGTCTCATTATCCTGACAAATTGAGGGTTAGTGCATTTACATTATTTCCTCACAGTCACATAGTAACTCCTCACGGTAACTGGCAGAGTTGGGATTTGAACCCAGGAGATCTGCCTCCAGAGCCTGTGGAGGTGTATCATACCTCCAGGACATCAATTAACCATAGAGGAGACTGAGCAGCATCTGTGTTTGACTTTATGATATAGTTTGGAAATCGTGTTGTTAAAATATTTTTTTATAGTGAGAAGCATAGGAAGAAAAATACAGTGCCCATCCATATGCTACCATTTAGATTCAACAGTAGTTAAAATTTTCCCTATTTACATATTTACTTATTCTGTGTATTTTTGAATTTGTATTTTTGGGGAAAAGTTCAAATTATATTTTTCTTCCTCTCTGCATTTTTATCTTTATCCCACCCATCTTTTTCTATCTCAGATTGAGAACAACTCAATAGATTTTATATTTTCTGACATAAATCTACTTAAATGTAATTTAGTGTTAATTGTGCTGGTGGGTTGTCTATAACAGAGAAAGAAATTCCTTACATGAATTCATGGGAATATAAATTATTAAAAAAGTAAATATGCCTATGCATAATAAATTTTGAAGAAACATCAATATTTTCAACTTACCTATTCTGTTTTTTTTTGAAACTATCTTTTCAGGAGGTAAACTGTCTAGTGTATTCTTGCTTTTTAGTAAGGATAGTATGTATGGCTTAGATTTAAAGCTAGAGACCCTTCTATAGTTGGTTTCTTAACTACTGCTCTAATGCAAAACCACTTAAAGTCCACCCAATTCCACAAATTGTTTCAGAACTTATTATGGTATGGTTAATATGTATGCCAGAAAAGCCGCAGTATCTATATTTTATTTAAAAGAGGCGTTGGTTAGGAAATATTAGAAGATTTTCTGTACTATTGAAAATATTAATATATAAACTGTATACTTTAAAATTGCATGTAGAAAAGGACTTAGCTTTAAACTTTTCATGACCTTGTAGCAAGTTGCTATAAAAATATGCTCTCAGAATTGTAATGAGTTTAGATATCCTAAACATAATTTTCTACTTAAATAGCTTTTTCCATTGGTTGGCCTATTTTGCTGTCTTCCAAAGGTTGCATAAGGGGTAATGCTTATCCACTTGGAGGATGTCATTGCTTAGATAGTTTTTGTAACGTTTTGATCTGCAAGTGTCAAAAGAATGTGCTTAATATGAAAAATTAAATTTTCATACAATATGAAAAATTTGATGAAAGCTTGTGGATTTTACTGAGGAAGGGAG